GTTTTAACCATGCAACAATATCTTTATTAGTATTTTGAACAGCTGTTGAAAAATTCAGTGATTCAGGTATTACTGAAACTGGTAATTTCTAAGCTTAAATTGGGGCAAATGGCTAGAGTGCAAAGTAATGCCATCATTGGGCACTATGAATTCAAGACTAAAGAATTATCAGCCACCCCTCAGATGGAGAACCAGGTGCAGAGTTGACCCTTTCTGGATGTTGTAATCAGAAAAGTGAGGCCATCTTCCAGCTGCTTGCCTGCAAAGATGAGCCTCTGCTGGTCAGAGGGTACTGCCTTCTTTATCTTGGATCTTAGCCTTCACATTCTTGATGGTGTCACTGGGTTCCACCTCTAGAGTGATAGTCTTGCCGGTCAGTCCTCACAAAGATCTGCATACCACCCCTCAGATGCAGGACCAGGTGCAGGGTTGACTCTTTCTGGATACTGAAATCAGAAAGAGTGCGGCAGCCATCTTCCAGCTGTTTGCCTCCAAAAATGAGCCTTTGCTGTTGTGTGTGGCAGAGGGTAATGCCCTCCCTATCCTGGATCTTGGTCTTCACATTTTCGATGGTGTCACTAGGCTCCATCTCCAGGGCGATGGTCTTGCCAGTCAAGATCTTCATGAAGATTTGCGTTTTAACCTGCTAGCGAATGCAAGGACCCTGAATCCCATCATGTGGAGTCACTTCCACACCAACACAGATACCCGTCAATGCCAAATGCTTCTGAACTAAAAATTTTTATATATGTACACGAGGGTGCCAAGACCATTCACTGGAGAAAGAACAGTCCTTTCAGCAAATGGTGCTGATTAACTGAATATGCACATGTGAAAGGATGAAGCTGGACCCTTACCTAACACCATACATAATATTAACTCAAAATGGGTTAAAGACCTAAATATAAGAGATTAAACTATAAAACTCTAGAAAAAAACATAGGGGAAAAGCTTCATGACACTGGATTTGGCAATGATTTCTTGGACATGGCATCAAATGCATAAGCAGCAAAAGAAAAAATATAGTGGACTTCATTAAAATGAAAAATTTCTGTACATCAAAAGATACCATCAACAGAATAAAAGGGCAACCCATGGAAATGGGAGACAATATTTATATATCATGGATCTGATATGAACTTAATATCCAGAACATATAAGGAATTCCTACAACTCAACAACAACAAAAACAAACCACCTAATTTTAAAAATGGGAAAGGACTTGGATAGACACTCTACCAAAACAACAACAACAAAATCAAATGGTCAATAGGCACTTGAAAAAAATGCTCAATATCACTAATCATTAGAAAACTGCAAATCAAAACCACAATGGGATGCCACTTTACACTCATTAGGATGGCTATTATAAAACAAAACAGAATAAAATCCAGAAAATAAAGGTGTTTCTGAAGATGTGGAGAAACTGGAACCCTTGTGCATTGCTACTGGAGTGTTAAACGCTGCACCTGCTGTGGAAAACAGTACGGCAGTTCCTCAGAAATCAAACAGAATTACCGTATGATCCAGCAATTCCACTTTGGGGTATATACCCAAAAGAACTGAACGCAGGGACTCAAACAGGTATGTGTAGGACAATGTTCAGAGCAGCAATTATTTGTAATAGCCAAAAGGTGGAAACAGCAAACATCTACAGATAAACAAATTGTCGTTTATACACACAATAAAATATTATTCAGCCTTAAAAAAGGAATGAAATTCTGATTCATGCTACAACGTGGATGAACTTTGAAGACACTATGCTAAGTGAAATAAGCCAAATACCAAAGAATAAATATTGCACGATTCCACTTATATGAAGTCTAGAATAGTCAAATTCATAAAAACAGGAAGTAGAAAAGTGATTACCAGGGGAGGGGGGAGGCGGTGCAGAATTATTTAATGAGTAATTTCAGTTTGGAATGATGAAAAAGTTCTGAAGATAGTGATGATGGTTGTACAACTTTGTGAATGTACTTAATACCACTGAAATGTGCACTTAAAAATGATTAAAATGGTAAATTTCATGTTGTATATTTTACAATAAAAGAAGTATGCATGCTATTTATTTTATTATGGTGGCAGTATAAAAATGTGCGTAAGAATACAAGCTTAAGAATTATGCTGCCTGGCTTCAAACCCAACTATGTCACTTTACAGCTCTGTAGTCTGTGCCTGTCTGCTCAGACAGTAACACAACCTACTTCATAGAATTACAGCAAGAATTAAATAAATTTTACATGTAAAGCATTTAAAACAAGGCATGTCATTTAGTAGTCACAATACCTTTTCAATGAGATTTAAGTGAAACTTCTACAGAACCTTGAAGCTCCTCCTCAAAATTCCAGAGTTCAGTAAAACACACTCTGAAAACCAGCGATCTAATCCAAATTTCTCATTTTACAGGTAAAGGAATTGGGAATCCAAGATAAGAGATTTGCCTGAGGTCACATATCTTGTTTTGCTAATATCAATTTTCCTAAGAGTTTGGGATTAACAATACTAATGCTGACACTGAACTACTTCAGAACCGAGGCAAAGCCATGAGATTCTATAGAATCTATGAATAGTGTGAAATCATCCACCATGCTCATCTTTATTTTTTTGTTATTATTATTATTTTTTTTTTTTTAGAGAGGGGAGAGGGAGAGAGAGAATCTTAAGCAGGCTCCATGCCCAGCGTGGAGCCTGATCTCATGACCCTAAGATCATGACCTGAACAGAAATCAAGAGTCCAACACTTAACTGTGCCACCCAGGTGCACCCCACCATGCTAATCTAGAAAATACAGTAATTATGAAAACCAAAGGATAGCACAACCAAAAGTCATTCTAATCATCCTCAAAGACGTGGTTAAAAACACCTCTTCGGAGAATGATGTGTTAAAATATTAGTGAAAACAAATTATATCAGAGTTTTAAATTAAACCAGAGTTGGAGGCACACTACACCACTTCTTTTGGCCAGTTACTTACTATATAATCTTAATGAGACCTCTGAATCTGAAAAATCAGCTGCTTTTTCCGACCAAATAGAGCTAATATTCATCATGAGGAGACATCTACAAATAATTATTTATTAAATTCAAACAGAAGAGAGCGGCAGTCCAAATAACACAAAATGTCTAACCCCAAAAAATCATGTATTAAAGCTTTGTAGACATTTTGGTACGTACTTGAATAGGGCTAGATCTGGTTTCTGGGAAATTCACAACACAAAAAGCAAAATAACAGAGACAATCTTTGAAGGTCAGGCTCAACAAGAGCTAAAAAGCTTTTGAGTATCTCTGTTTTGCCCTTCCTCCATTGGTCTTACTCCTCAACTGGGCTCTCAAAGGATAGTACCACCTCTGCTTGGAATGTCCTCCCCATCTACATCAGTTGAAATCCTACCCCTTCTTCTTCTTCTTCTTCTTTTTTTAATCCTACCCATTCTTAAAGGTTCCACTTAAATCCCTCAGCTTCCGTGCTCCCAATCTAGAATTAATCTCTCCTCTTTGCTCGCCTGTTTTGGAACTTTACTCCAGCATTTTAAACATGTAATGTGTTGCATTACAATTACCTACCTTAACTTCTTCCCTCACCTTACCCCCAGGAAAATCCCAAGAGCAGTAGGCTAGGGAAGAAAGGAAACATTTGCTAACACCTCAGAACCTTGAAAGGTGCTAGGCATTTTGCATACATTATCTCATTTAATCTGTTTTGACAACCAACCGGAGAGGTAAACAGGTGGTGTTATTACCATTTTCCTGATAGAAAAGTACTGCTGAGAGTTAATAGCTTAGCTGTCACACTGCTAGCCAATTCCAGGGTTTCTGGAGCCTCTGGTTTGCCTGGCTTCAAAAAAGAGCTCTTTCCACCACTCCGTGCTGCAGGTCGTGTCCACTTCGTGTCCCCCACTCTAACAGACAGTAGGTATTCCATAAAGATTCGCCTAATTTAAGATTCCTGTGAGATCACTACCACCCTTTTAATAACCCGTTCACGCCCTATCCCTAGCCCGTTACCTTCACGGTTCCCATACAGCAGATTTTACAGACACACAGGCAGCTCTCCACCTCTCCGAGAGAAATGCTGCAGACACATCAACCCTTATTGGGAGGTGAAGTGAAGAATCTTTCAATCCTCCCAGATTTCCCCAACCGCTCTTCCCACAGAATATGAGACACCCCCCCCCCACGAGACATTTGATGCGACGCTTATACCCTTCCAACAAGCTCTTAATTCATACTAAGCAACGTCTTCGTGCTTACAAGCAGTTAAGGCTAATGCGGTTCCCAGCTCACACTGTGGGGACACCCTAAGACACTGTCGGAATAAGAAAACCGCATCTTTCAGACTGTCTTAAAATGAAGGCATCCTAACACTATTACACGGCCTCCCTCTTCTCCTCATCCCGCCCCATGAATTGCAGTTTGGATTTCCGGCGGGAATGCACACAGACACAGCAAGATGCGAGGGGGCTCAAAAGCAAGGGAGCAATTACTTAGCCTGCTTAATTCGAAAGAAGACGCAGAAGGCGCTCCGCATTTCTAGATCTCTGCACTGAATTTATTTATGAAAGGTGGGGGGCACCGAAGCCCGAGGAATCCCAGACACCGAATCACTGCTTTCCGCGGCTAATCGGGGACGGTCCTTTCCTCCTCGCGGTCCCGGGCCACCAGCACCCGGTGCCGGCTCCAAGCCCAACCGCACCCTCCCGAGGCGGTCCTGTATCTCATTGTCTCCCTCCGTCGCTGCCCCCAGGGACGCAGGGGGGCAGCCCTGGCCCCACCGACCCCCACCGACCCCCACCGACCCGCCACCGCCTCGCTGGGCGTGGTCCGACGAGCCCGGCCCCGGCCCGGCAGCGACCCCGCCCCAGGCTCGGCCACCCGCCCGCACCGCGCCCGGATGGCGGGGCCGGGCGCCGGGAAAATGGAGGCGGGAGCCGCGGCAGCGCCCCACAGTCCGCGCCCGGCCGGCCTCTCCGCCCGCCTCGAGGGCGAGGCTGAGCACTCACCGCGGCAGCTGCTCGATCCTCCAGCGGCCCAGGGCTGAGCAGCCTCCGCTCCCGCTGCTCCCGCCGCCGCCGCCTCCTCAGGCGCGGCGCTCCTTCCCCGGAGACGCCGTGAGCGCCCGCAGCTCCCGCGCCGCGCGCACCGTGACTGACTGACTGACCGACCGACCGGGCGGCGGCGGCGGCGGCGGGGGCGGGGCGGGAGCGCGCAGCAGGCGGGGCGGCCGCAGCGCCCAGCGGTGGCCGATCCGAGTGCGGCCGCGTCCGGGCGAGACGCAGGAGGCGGAGCTGAGGGCCCGGCGGCGGACTTGCGGACCGACTCGCGCCCGGCCGCTCGCTGCCCCCGCCCGCCGCCAACCACTCACTTCCGGCGCAGGCGGCCGCGCCCGCCCCTCCCGGGCGTCCGCCCCCCGCCCGCGCCCCCGGCCCGCGCCCCGGTGCCCGGCCTGCTCTCACCCTGCCTTCAGGCCCCGGACCGCACCCAGACGGGGCTGTCTGCGGTGCTCCGCCTTTCCTCCGCGCGCGCCTGTAAACCGCCTCCAGGAACCAGTGAATCAGAGAATGAATGAGCGAGGAAGGAAAATCCCGGTGCCGTCCCACCCCCTGCTCGCCTTTCGTTGGACGCAGGCCCAGTGGCCTCTGTCCCAGGGCCGCGGGACTCACAGAAGCATCGAGCAGATCTGTCAAGGACCTGTATGCATGCACCTATATGTCATTCATGTATTCAAAGACCCCAGCAACACATCAGATGTCTTAGGCGCTTAAAGGACCATTGTCGTTGCAGTCTATGAGGCCTTTTTTTTTTTTTTTTAGGAAAACCCATTTTGGCCGACAACTCTCCGTATTTTCATGTACTATATGAGAAGCTTTTAAAAATTGGACATTTCCATTATCTTTAATTACTTTTCACCTTAGAAGTTTGCTTATTTTGCGTTCTTAATTTCTGTCACCCCCTTACTGAAATTGTTTAGGAATAAGGTTTTGGCATTTTTCTTGATCATCAAGCTCTAAATTCCTCAGATACAGTTTATTTTGATGTAGGCTTGACTTAGTCAGACTTCTAAGTTTTAATCTTAAGTTTTTATATCTTTATTTTGACCTCCTAAAGTTGATCAAAGGAAAAAAATAGAATTAAATAATTTTTGCCTGGCTCCATGCAAAGCAAGTTTATTGACAGCATTAAAACAACTGACCAGTCGGAAGTGTTACCTGGAATTAGTTGCAGTGAACATTCCTTTATCATGTCTTCCCGTTTGCTTAAGAGTATCTGCAACCTGAATTTTCACAGGTAAAGAATTGACTGTACATTTCTGATGCCTGGGCTCCCTAAGAACCAGAGTGTTCATGTCCTGGTTTGGTTAGTTACATCCCTTTTTTCAGATATTCTTGAGGACTTTAAAATGGTTCCAGTCTTTTTGCACAATCTGTTCCAAACTGGTACACAATCCGTTTCAAACTGGTATTCAGAACCATAGGATACAGTTACTAGCTGCATTTCACTCTTGAGATATGTGTACTTTGGAAACATTAACTGGGCTTTTGCATTTAAGTTTTGTAGGTGCTTTGATATTCTTGTGTAGAATACTGTAATCTCATAAATGAAGATGGTGCTGCTGACCAGTTCCTTGCCTTGTGTTCCTTTCTTGTGGAATTCATCATTTGTTACCTCTAATTATAATTATTTCAGTAAGTTATGACCTTCCCTAATGAATGTAATACAACAGTTTACTTATTCTTATATCTTCCATAATACTAGCATGGTACCTTGCACAATAAATATTTTTAAATTAACAAATGCAAACATTCTGATAAGTGATAATTCATACATATCTGTATGATATGTATACATACATATCCCATTTCCCTCATGACCAGGTTTATTGAGATTATACACACCTGAGTGCCAGACCTGATAAATCTCTATTGTCATCAAATACTATTACCAGGCTGAGTGATACTATACAAGGAAGATACTCCTCTCTTTGAACTTCCTTTAAAAAATAGATTATTGAGCGCTTTTTAGATAGCGTTTAGTCAACTATCTTTCCTCCCAGGACTTAGGTTGGTCAAGGCTAGTAAGAAAGAAAAACAAAACAAAACAAAAGTCACTTTCAGCCATTGAGGAAAGTAAGCAAGTTCTCATCATTTCCTTTAAACCATGAAACCATTCATTCATTCAACAAGGATTTATTGAGTTCTAACTAAGGCCTAGGAATACAAAGGCAAGAAAGACATGGCAAGGTGGTTCCTGCCCTCAAAATGTACAATGTCTAGTGGGTAAAGGATGCAAGGAAGTCACGACTGCAGGGTTCATTCCCAGCTCAGGAAAGCCCTCCAATGGAGGGGATTCTTTTTTTTTTTTTTTAAGATTTTACAATTTTATTTATTTATTTGAGAGAGAGAGAGAGAGCAGGGGGAGGAGAGCAGAGGGATTGGGAGAAAGAGAATTCCAAGCAGACTACCTGCTGAGCGCGGAGCCTGATGTGGGGCTCCATTTCCCGAGATTGAGATCATGATCTGAGCTGAAATCAAGAGTCCATCGCTTAACCAACTGAGCCACCCAGGTGCCACAGGAGGGGATTCTTGAACTGAATATTCAGTGACAAGGAGGACCTAACCTGATGAGGAAGGAGGGAACTGGCGTTTCAGACAAAGACAACAATACCTATGCAGGGATGGAGATACCGAACAGCACAATGCTTTAGAGGCTCTGCAGGCAGTTCCATTTTGTCAGGACAGGCACAGAAGAGGGTCAAAGAGGTGGAAGGAAAAGGTAGAAGGGCTTCTTTAAAAAGGGGGTGGTGGGTGGGGCTCGTGTTAACCAAGGAGTTTGAACTTGATACTCTAGGAATTATTAATAAATAATAAAATCTTTGGAGATTTTAAGCCCCAGAACAACTGAATTTGCGTTTTGGAAACCAGAGAGACCAGACTGGGGCAGGAGTAAATCAGGAGGTAGTGGCAACAACTGGATGAGATATGCTGCAGGTGAAGTGGGCAGGAGGGATTAGATGGGAGAAATATTAAGGAGGTGGACTCCATAGGATTTTATGTATAATTGGACATGAGGGAGTGAATGAGAAGGAGAGAGTCTGGATGACCCTCAGGATTTTGGTTTGGAAGACAGACTGGAATGTCGTGGTCATCTCTGTGAAGTAGAGATCCCAGAAGGAGGAGCAGATTTCAGAGGACAGGCTGAATACCTGTAGGAGAAAGAGTAGTACCATAAATCAGGGCATAGCAAAGGATCTTAGTCCGTCATTTCCTGAAAGTGTGTTATTTGGAACTCTAGTAGATATGATCCCCAAACATAAAATTTTCCTTTAATCGAATAACTGAAAAATGCTAGGCTAACCAAAATTTGATGGGTTTCTAAACTAGAGTGGTTTTCAGTGGTTTTAATATGTTCACTGTGAATTTCTAAGAGACACATGTTATATGCAGCATTTCGCAAATGTACTCAATCTTGAACTGCTTTTTTTCAGTGGAACATCTCATAAAACATGCGTTCCACAGAACACACTTTGGGAAATGCTGACCTAAGCCAGATTTTTGGTTTGTAGTAAAGAAAACTATGGCCCCAAAAGAAGTGACTTGCCTAAAGTTAAATAACTATTATTAGAAGACATTGGACTAGAATTCACATCTTCTGACCCCACTCACATACTCTTTCTACTACATAATGCTTTATGAGCGACAAACTCATTCTAATACCTTTAGCAAATCACAGAGAGGAAAATGTTATAAAAGGATTATGGGATATATCCTTTTAATTGAGGTTTCAAATCTAGTTTCTAAAACTATGCTAATTTTTAATGATTACCACTTTAAATAAGGTGAAAAGAATTGTACCTTGAAAAAGTGGGACCAATTATTACCTTACTATGGTCTTTCTGATAATTTAGCAGGAGAAATCACCTAACTAAATAGGACATTCATCTAGTCACCCTAGCCCTGAGATATCTTTAAATAAAACAAACTTTTAGGAATGAATAGAAACAAAAACTCTCCCCAGAAATTTTAGTGTTGATTTTTCCCCCCTTCATGTTGAAGGAAGGACAGGTTCTAAAATGTACTGAGACTATGAAAATCCACACCAGGTTTTGGCTTCCTCTCTGGCACAATTCCCCTGATTCTGAAGACTCTAATAGCTAATGGATGGGAAGATTTTCATATCCTAAATTCATAGTCTTTTTCCCCAGAGGAGAAGTTTTAGTACTTCCTATTCTTAGAAAAATGAGACAAATTGTTTGTTCCCAAGAGACTTCTTGGGACAATAAGACACTTTCTTTTTAAGAGTAGATTTTATACACATTACCTTTGAAACTAGTCATCACTGTTTTATGTTTCAGTAATTCAAAGAAAGTATTTATTTCATTTCTAGATGCCATATTCATTTTTAGTAGGCACACCAAGGACAATCTCATGTAGTATAAATATACTGAGTGAATGAATAATTATTTACTTAAAAAAATCGGTAGTCATAAGTAGTGAGAAGAACACTACTTATCAATTTATCAAAACTATCTTTAGTGTCCACTCTGTCTCCATCTCTGCTGAATCACTTTAAGGAGTACTAGAAAAATACGAAAAATAGTCTCTGATTTTAAAAAATGATCTCACCCATTCTTGGAAAGGATGGGAGAAAACACACTCATATCCTGCCGATGGAAATATAAATTGTTTCAACCTTATTCTGGAGGGCAGTTTAGCAACAGACCTTAAAATACCTTAAACTGTGTATCTCTTTGATCAAGCAATTTCTCTTCTATGAATTTATTCTAAGAAGTAAGAACAAAACATTAGCTTGGATATTTTGGGATGATGGCAAATAACTGGAAATTCCCTAGATGTCCAGTAATGAGATTAAGAAAATGATTATTTCGGGGTGCTCAGTCGGTTAAGCAGCTGCCTTCGGCTCAGGTCATGATCCCAGGGTCCTGGGATCGAGCCCTGTGTCGGGCTCCCTGCTCAGCGGGGAGCCTGCTTCTCCCTCTCCCTCTGCCTGCCTCTCTGCCTACTTGTGCTCTCTCTCTCTCTCTGTCAAATAAATAAATAAAATCTTAAAAAAAAAAAAGAAAATGATTATTTCTAGAATAGTTTTTGATATGAAAAGATATGCACAATATGAAAAAAACATATTACATAGGAAAAATCTAGAAGAGAATACAACAAGAAGGCAAAAATGTTTATTGCAGAGTTGTATGATTATGGTACTTTCTTTTATTTCTTTGTCTTTTAATGAATTTGTATTCTTTAAGTGGCAATTAAAATGAATGAACCAAGTTAATATTTATGAAGATAAATCTCTAAAAATGTTGAGGAAAATAACACACAGAGCATATATTATTTAATAGAAAATAAAGTTAATTTTAATTTAGAAAGGGATT